TATGTATGTATATATATACACATATATGTATGTATGTATATACACATATATGTATGTATGTATATATATACATATGTATGTATATATACATATATATGTATGTATACATACATATATATGTATGTATATATACATATATATGTATGTATACATACATATATTAGTGATATCCTCCCTCCCTCTCTCATTCCCTCCCTCACTTACTCTGTACTTGTTGAGAGATTTAGCCAGAGCCTCGATGGTCTCCATGTCCAGGTGATTGGTCGGCTCATCAAGGATGTAGAAGTTTGGACTGAAGGACAGAGAGACGACATCATCATCATCACCATCACCATCACCACCACCACTAACAGCGGGACCCTGAGCTTTCTACTACCATGGCATGGTCATCTGAGCAAAGGCCACTCGGCTCTTCTGCCCTCCAGACAGACTGGCCACTGGCCTGGTGGAGAGCTCTCCGGTGATCCCGTACCCTCCCAGCTGGTGGCGGTACTCCTCCTCCGTCCGACCTGAGACACAAAGACACAATCAGCCAATCAGAACACGTGAAGAAGCCACGGGTCGCTCCTCGTGTGATGTCGGTGTGGTGGTTACCGGGGAACCGGTTGAGCAGCAGCTCCACAGAGCAGACGTTCATGTCCAGCTGGTCCACATGATGCTGACTGAAGTATCCGATCTTCAGGCTCCTGAAGAGAACCAGAACCACCAGAACAACAGTCAACAATTTGTTTAGGGAACTGTTTACGGAGTGGAAATGGTTCCCTAAAGAGAGTAAATGGTTCCCTGAATAGCTGCTATAATTACACTTAAAATGGTTCCCTTAACGCAGCAAACAGTTCCCAGAACACAACCTATAAACAAAAACGTCCCAGTTCCCTAAAGAGTCAATGGTCCTATAAAAAGAACCACTAAAGAAGTAATCTGTTTCCTAAACACAGTAAAAAGTTAAACAGATTGTAATAAACGGTTGTATATAAACAGCCACAGTTTGACGTTCAGGTGAACATATTCAGGTCGGTGCTCTGCTCCGATTGGTCCGTTGGCTGTCTTACCTGTGAGATTGTCTGACTCCGCCAACCGGCGTCAACTCGCCCATCAGCAGTTTGAGGACGGTCGTTTTACCGGCACCATTTTCACCGACCTGACGGGAAACACAACACGTGAACTGACAATCAATAACAGTCCTGATCCTGGATTATTGATCAGTTATTGTGTTACTACATTCCTCATAAGTTCTCTGGCAATAATGCTTTATCAGTAACATGTCACAGGGACAGTGAATGGAGAATCTACAAGGAAAACCATATATGGAATTATCGTCTAAAAAGAAACAACTAATGGACCCGTGAGGAACGATAATCCTGTCATATTGCTGGCTTATAAGTCTGGAAGGGTTAACTTTACATCCAGCTGTCCTGTCACTGACTGGTGGATTTTACTGATGACACGTACGATGCAGATGCGAGACTCGAGGTCGGCTGACAGGTTGAGTCCAGAGAACAGAGGGCGGTCTGGAGAGTAATAAAACTCTACTTCATCCAACTGCAGGATGGGAGGAGACAACTTCTCAAAGTTATCAGGAAACCTGGGAGAAGAAAAACATCAATCAATCAATCAAGACAGGACACCACACCAGCACCAGAACCTGAACCCAGTTCCACTTGTTATCATGACAGAAGTTCATCTTCTCACCTTAAAGTCACCTCGATTTCTTTTTCAAGGGGCTTCAGTTCAGGTCTGTGGGAGGAAACAACACATTCAGGTAGGATTCACTGAATATACAAGTACCAGGTCAGAGTACCAGGTCACGGTACCACAGGTGTGTACTAGGTGTAGGTGTGTATCAGGTGTTGGACTAGGTGTAGGTGTGTATCAGGTATGTACTAGGTGTAGGTGTGTATCAGGTGTAGGTGTCTATATGGTGTGTACTAGGTGTGTACTAGGTGTGAATACTCACAGCCTCTCCAGCAGTTTCAGTTTGCTCTGGACCTGAGCTGCTCTATTAGCGTTGTACCGAAATCTGTCGATAAACACCTGAAACACAAAAATACATCACAGTCAGAGAAACAATGCATTCTGGGAACAACACACCAAACAAACATCTGCACCATGTGACCGTCATCCACTTTATGAATGAATGAGACAAATATGTTTTATTCAGATTTTACTGACTAGCTACTATTTTCTATTTTAGTAGTACCTGTCTATGTTGTTTGCACTGCAGTAGCACCTGTAACGGAACATAACGGAACTTAAACTGTAACGGAGGGAAATGAAGACGCTATAGACATCTTAACGCTGATTGACCAAGACTCGACACGTCACATCAAAGATGTTTTATTGCGAAGATCACATCACCTTTTCTCCTCGTCTCACTCCAATCTGAGAAACGCTGGCTGACCAGTTGACCCCCC